CAAGGATGAAGTTCAATGTATTTCCAGATGGCTAAGTTGTGAGAATCATGTTTGTTCCTGAGCAGGGAGATGCAACACCTATTCCTCACCTATGGTTACATGAGTAGTGTTACATCGAGTTTGGTTAGCGGCTGCTTAAACTTGAGGACAAGTTTCTTCATGAGGGGGAGTATGATGCAGTAGAATAAATAGGTCAAGTGTCTGTTAAAAATTGCTTATTAGTTGTAGTCTATAAATAAGTGATGTAATATTCCTTTGTACTTAGCTTTTGATTAAGAAATATATTGTGATTGGAATAGAGCTTGGTTTCTCTCTCTAGCCTTTAGGGGTTTTACCCCTAATTGGGGCATTTGTCTTCTCTCTCTCTCTCTCTCGCAATTCAATCCTTGATTTGCATTTGGATTGCGTTAAATTACTTGGAACATATTCATATGAGGAGGTCCAGGTCTGACTTATCAAGAAAAGGGGTAGGTCTTGGTGAAAGTTACTAGTTCTATTCCAATAGTACCAATACATGTAACATGGAGACATATAAAAAATAGTAGGTTAGGAAGTCTTTTGGTGAAAATTAAACTAGAGATTTTTATTATTTTTTTTTTAAATGTGAACTTGATTGGCAATTTTAAGTAATTTGAAATTAGGGACATATTGACTTCTGGCTTGGGAAATTCCAACTAGCTAATGTGTAACTTACCCTCCACCTCCCTCCCTAAAAAAGAAAAAAAATCTCTTTGAAGGGATTTGTTTGTGTGTGTATGGTGTAAAGGGTATTTGGACACGGAATGCATGGAGACATATAAAAAATAGTAGGTTAGGAAGTCTTTTGGTGAAAATTAAACTAGAGATTTTTTTTTTTTTTTTTTTTAAATGTGAACTTGATTGGCAATTTTAAGTAATTTGAAATTAGGGACATATTGACTTCTGGCTTGGGAAATTCCAACTAGCTAATGTGTAACTTACCCTCCACCTCCCTTCCTAAAAAAGAAAAAAAATCTCTTTGAAGGGATTTGTTTGTGTGTGTGGTGTAAAGGGTATTTGGACACGGAATGAATATTCCATACATGATATTTTTTCTGAGTCTCCTTAATTGTTCAATGTCCGAAGTGTTGTTAAAAGTGTTGGATATCAAGCACAAAAACACTTGGACTCAAGATATAAGATGTGGAACAATCTCTACAAAGGGACACTCATTGTGTGTTAGTTCATGATCAATTTGAGTCCGACAAAGGAGACAATTTTTAGGCTTATTCTCATCTTAAAAAAGTTCAAAGAAATAGAAATTTATCCCCACTCTTAATCCTAGATTTTGACATGCATGGTTTTTCGGACTTATTCTCTTGTTAAAGAATTTAAAAGAAATAAGAAACATAAATTTTATCTCCACTCTTAATCCTAGATTTTGAGATGCAAAATTGTTGCAAAAGACTTTATATTAAAATCAAACACAAGATTTGGTACATGATGTTATAGAATTTATAAACTCTATCACAGTTGTCATACCGTACATTTATACCTCACATTAATCACGGTGGTTATACCGCTTCATTACCATGGATGTTATATCTTGCCAATTATACACCTAGGCCAAGAGCTATGTATGCCAAAGTCTTTTACATGCATTGTTGGACTCTAGGAAATTTTGCTTAGAAGCTAGAGCTAAAGGCTTTGTCATGGACTAATGGCATTGTGACCCACACAGGTTGAGCTGCCTTAATCCAGTTCTACCAAGAGAGGGACCTTGTCACTAAACCTTTCTCAAAGATTCCCAAAATCTGTACATATTCTTAACGGTCTAAGTTCTTACAAGAACCCTAAAAATAAAGTAGACATTCCAGATAGTTACAACCTATGTTACATGGATTTGAGTATGAGTATCGAGTGTGAGTGTTTCTAGGCATTGGACCTCACTAAACCATTAATATTAGGATAGACTATAATGATAAATATCCAAAAGTTAGGTTTGGGTATGTGGACACGTCTTGAACATTTAATTATATTGTATGTCTCACATGCAATGTTTGGCTAAAGTTTTAGCCAATAGGCTTAGACTGGTGGTGGGGGATGTTGTGCGAGAGTCTCAGAATGCTTTTGTGAGTGGTCGTCAAATTTTGGATGCGGTCTTGATAGCTAATGAGTGTGTTGACTGTCATTTGTGTGATGAACGACCAAGCATCATTTGTAAGCTGGATATTGAGAAGGCTTATGACAATGTTAGTTGGGATTTTTTAATGTCTGTCATGGAGCGGATGGGTTTTGGAGAGAGGTGGAGGCGGTGGATTTTATTTTGTATCTAGACGGTGCGGACGTCTATGTTGGTGAATGGGACTCTGGCAGGTTTTTTTTAGATGTTTCAGGGATTGCGACAAGGAAACCCTTTGTTTCCTTTGTTGTTTATTCTGGTGATAGAGGTGCTAAGTCGGTTGTTATCTCGAGCGGTGCAGGAAAGTTTGTTGGTGGGCTTTTTGGTAGGTGATGGGGGCTGGGGTCCTCTAGTTGTTTCTCATCTCTGTATGCTGCTGATGCTTTGATTTTTTGCAGGGCGGATTTGGAGTGTTTTCTATTATGCTTTGAAGTAGTCTCAGGTTTTAAGGTGAATTTGGGGAAGCCAGAATTGATTCCGGGGGGGGGAGTCTTAGTAGATTTCGTTTTTGGCGGCTATTTTGGATTGTAAGGTGTCTACTTTGCCGGTGTTTTATTTGGGGTTGCTGTTGGGGGCCCCTTATAAGGCTAGGAGGTGTGGAATGAGGTTTTGGAGAGGGTTCAATGTAGGTTGGCAGGATGGAAGAGGCAATATTTGTTGAAGGGTGGGAGGCTTTCTTTGGTAAAAAGTGTGTTGGATAGTGTTTTGACTTATTTTATATCGGGGCATGTTATTCCAGTATCAGTGGCACGTCATTTGGAGAAGTTGCAGCGGGATTTTTTGTGGGAAAGTAATGAAGGAGAGTTTCGTTATCATCTTATTAGTTGGGATCAGGTTGCTGCTCAAAGAAGTATAGGGGTTTGGGGGTGCAGAGGTTGTGTAAGTTTAATTTGGCTTTACTGGGTAAGTGGTTGTGGAGCTTTTTAAGGGAGAGGGAGAGGGATCGGTTGTGGCGTCGGGTGGTGGCTTCTAAACAGATCAAACGCACTGAAGGTGTATCCAGCACAGTACTAGGGAGGTGGGAGGGCCTTATAGGTGTGGATTGTGGAAGGGTGTTTGGTTGGGGAGGGAAGGGTTTTGGAGGTACGTTCAGTTTTGGGTAGGTATTGGCGACTGGGTACACTTTTGGAAAGATTAGTGGTGTGGGGAGGATGCTCTGCGGGTGCGTTTTCCGTTGATTTTCCGTTTGGCAGTGGATCCTAATGTGATGGTGGCTTCTTATTTGGGTGGGGGTGGTGAGGAGGTGGTTTGGGATACTGTTTTGCGTCGACATACTCGAGGTTGGGTAGTTAGTGGATTTGTTGACCTTTTTGTATGGGGTAAAGGTTAGGTGGGGGTGGGGATGATGCTTTTGTTTGGGTGGTTCTTGGTGCGAAAGATGTTTTTACAGTTTCGTCTTTCTATTGGAGTTTGTGTTTGTGGTGGTAGGGAAGGTTTTTCTTGGCGTTGAGTTTGGGCTTCTAGTATTCCTTCGAAGGTGGCCTTCTTTGTGTGGACAACAGCTTTTGGTAGGATTTTGACTATTGATAACCTGATTCGTCGAAACCATATTTTGGTTAACTAGTGTTGTATGTGTTGTGCTGATGCAGAGAAAGTAGATCATTTGCTTATTCATTGTCTAATTGCTTCTCGTTTGTGGGTGAACATTTTCTCTTTGTTTGGAGTGGTGTGGGTTCAGCCGAGGCGGGTCATGGAGGTTCTTCATTGCTGGGGGGGTGGTCGAGTAGGGCGGAGGTGGCGGCGAGCTTGGGCTTTAGCCCCTTTGTGTTTGATGTGGTTGATTTGGTTGGAGCGGAATTGTCGGACTTTTTAGGGGTGTGCTATGTCGGTGGCTCAATTGGAGTCTTGGGTTTTTGGTGTTCTTTATAGTTGGGTGTCTAGTAGCGTGGTTCCCAATTTATTTGTTTTTTCTAGATTTTGTTGATGAGTTAAGTGGTTAGGTTCCCCGTTTAATGGGTTAGTTTTTTTGTATTTGTTTGCATCTTCTTGATGCTTTGGCAATAAATTTTATTTATCAAAAAAATATTCTCACATACAATGATGGCATTTTTTAGGAATGTACTTGAAATTAAATAGAATTTAGGGGAGAAAGGATATTTCCATGTGAAAGGCTACTATCAGATGTAAGTTGCTTCTTCTTCTTCTTCTTCAAACATCGTTGAAATAGACACATATAGTGGACATGGGTACACTGGGAGGATGGAAGGGTGCACATAACACCGGTAACAATTTACGACCATATGCTCACTTTCTATACATAGAAGTTGGTGTATTTAGAATGCATAAACTCCTATTGAGCTTAATACTTTGAGCTCTAAGTTGCCTTTGTCTCTTTCTTGGCTAGACTACTCTATCTCTATTGTAGTCATCCTCTTTGTCTCTCGTTCCTTTTGTTAAGGAGCTTGATATGCATTGTTGGGTTCATTTCCTAACACTAACGTGGTATTAGAGCTCGTGTTAGGAGAGGCCTTGGGTTTAAGTCTCCGTTGCATTTGTTTTTCCGTTTGCATTTTGTTTCTCTACATATTGGAATGTTTGAATCTCCACGTACTAAATGGTCTAAACACGAGGGAGTGTATTGGAGAGCTTGATATGCATTATTGGGCCAATTTCTTAACAACTTTTAAGACTAGTGGTGATCTAATACCTATAATGTGTTTGCCACTCCACAGTGAACCTGTGACCACGTACGTCTCAACCCTTCACACTAGGAGACCACATATAAAGTAACGTGGTGAGAGTTTCAATAAGGTCATTTTTTCCCCCCGGGATATTTCACCAATTTGGCCACTTGCACTATGTGATTTTTCCATATAGATTATTGCCGTACAATTTTGATCTAATTTGATGTCCTTTCTAGGCTTGTCCTTGTTAGTGGGTTGAAGTGGGTGGATGATGTCATCACCAATGCCCCTTATGCTATTACAGAGGAATTTATGAATCGTCTTTTCAATGAGCATAAGATTGATTATATCATACACGGTGATGATCCTTGCTTACTTCCAGATGGAACCGATGCTTATGCCCTGGCAAAAAAAGTTGGGCGTTACAAGCAGATCAAACGCACTGAAGGTGTATCCAGCACAGAGATTGTAGGTACTATAATTTTCTATTCTATGTAAGAATCTTTTGGAGAACTTTTAGTCTTTTAGTAAGAAAAAATAGTGCTTAGTGATCTTATCCGGTGTAGCTTTATCTAATATCTGGCTGAGGATGCATCAAAGTTGAGATTGGTTTGAAATCAAATGTCTTTTCCTTTTCTATTGAACTAACCCTGGTTAACCCTGTGCACTCTCAATACTGTGCTCATGTTCACTGGGGATGAGTTCATCTGATCATCATACATATATGACCTACAAGCCTGTCCAGAAAGGGAAAAAAATAAAATAAGAGAGAGTGAGAGAGAGAGAGAGTAAAATGATGTATGTGCGCTTTATCAGTTATCAGTGTCACTTAAAATAATTAACAGAAAGAGGAATTTTGTCCAAAATTTGTTCATTTATTAATTTTACGAAATCAATAATATGTAGGAAGGATACTTGCTTCTGCAAAGGAAATAAAAGTTCGCGGAAGTCAGGAATGCTCATCTCTGCATGGAGAACCTCATAACCTAAATAGCATTCAGGGTGAGGAAAGTCGTGCCAATGGTGATCACATATCACATTTTTTACCTACTTCTAGACGGATTGTGCAATTTTCAAATGGCAGCAAGGTATATTTAATTTTTACTCTTCAATAGTCATTACAGCAAGACAAAGTATGAAATCACCTTTTCTAAATGCCATATGTTTATTCATTCATTACTCCTCACATTCAGTTCTCTTTAATAATAAATTCAAGTAATCCATATGCACATATGCTATATGTTTATTCATTCATTACTCAGGACAAAGCTCAATGAAATTTCCATTAGGTACAACTTTGAGGTTTGGGTAACCTGTAGTCGAACCATAGGTGTGTGAGGTTCTTATTAAAACATTAGGCTCATACTGCATCTGAAAGATTTGCTTCATACGCTAACCTCTTTTTATGGTAAAACATTCTTAAGAACTACAACGATAAATTATCTTTTAAATTTACAATTATGCTTAAAGAAGTGCAACATACAAACTCACAAAAGGTATAATATTTTATACTAAGCAAAACATATGAGATGCATAACTTTTTCTCTCCCCTTTTTTACCCCTTCACATTGGTGAGCAAAGAAACATGTACACTTTGCTGCTATAAAATATGTGAATGATAATACCACTTCCTTTTGGAATATCCTATCCATAGTTCATTGATTGGTGGCTGCAGTAATGATCTGCTGCTTTTAGTTAATGTTACATGACTACTGAAATAGAAGGGGAAGTTTGTTATAACTAACTGGACATTTCCAATAATAATCAGTAATGACAGTAAAGATGTTGCAATGCAGAGTGAGTGGCCTCATGCTTCATAGAAATGAGGGGAACTGCAACAGGCATCTACTGAGCACTGACTTAATAGTTGGAACTATAGGCATCAGAAAAGATGGTCCTTGAATATAATAGAATTGAGGCAATTTAAAACTTAGTCTTCTTTCTGTCTTTATTTTCTTATTTATTTTTGGGGATTGGTTGGGTAAATGAGCTATTTTTAGGGAATTTTTTTTTTTGGCAATTGAGATATTTTTTTTGGGGGTTAAATGAGCTATTTTTAATAAATAAATAAATAATTGAGGGTAAATTAGCCACTTTAGTATAATTTATTATTATTATTTTAATAAAAAAATGATGGGGTGTGTTTGGTTTGTATTTGTAGAGTAGTTTTTGAGATAAAAAGTACGAAAACTTGCTTAGTTTGCCTTTTTTCAGAAATGGTTTTGGAAAATTGTTTTGGGGAGAGAGTTTTAAAAAAAGTGATTGATTTGATGTGTACGAGAGAGAGAGTGATTTTGGAAAGTAGGTAACCAAACAAAATTTTGAGATTTTTTTTGGAAAAATTTGTTTGGTTTGATTACTCTTGAAAATTTGTTTGTAGAGAATTTTTCCCAAAATTTTTTTCTGAAAAACAATCCAAACAAGGCCGATATTTTTTTATTAAAAAATAGTGAATGAGCTATTTTTAATAAATTCATTTTTTTCCCCTTCTAGATCAACTGAGCTATTTCAAGAATTTTTTTTTCCCTTTTCTTTTCTTGTGCAATAAATGGGCTACTTTTTATAGAACACGAGAAGCTGTTTGCTGTCGGTGATGGAGAATATTATATCCAGAGCTGTGTATTACAAACTATTATAGGATTTTCGTTTTTTTTAATATGATTAAAAGTTGGGGAAGCTTAGAGAATTCTTGAACTTTTGAACTTTTATTATTATTATTTTTTCTATAGAAAATGATCTATCCTTTTTTTCTTTGCAAGTTTATGTAATCTAACTTCGTTGCATGTACTTTAATATTTTGCAAATCATTCACAGATGTCTTCTGAGTATTGTTCAAATCTGGATTTTTTCTTCACGTTTCCATGTTTTTTTCTGGATAATTTCAGAACAGCCACTTCTTCTCTGTTAACTACATGTATTAACTCCTTCAAAGCCAACTTTATCAATTTTGAGCATCAGTTCTTATTTTTTCTTAATCATGGATAGATTAAGTGGCATATGCTTAGCGGATATATAAAAAATAAAAAATAAAAAAGCAGCCCGAGCAAAGCCTAAATAAGAGATTGTGCAGATGCCATAGGGTCACAATGACTGAGATTAAGACAGATTATATGTAATGGAGTTGTAAAAGAATTTGGAGAAGAAAATGGGAAAATAGTGAAACTTAACAGTTAGTATATTTATAACAGGGCAAATTGATGACGAGATTGCTCGTCAAATTACGGTTACAAACTTGGACCATTTAATATGGAAGTCTGTTGAAGTAGTAGATAATTGTGGAGTAACTACAAATTTGAGTAAAAAATTAACATGATCAGGGTAACCATTACAATGCCCATTTCCATGATCTGTCTTATATTTTGTGTGGGTTTGGACACCTTCATTTTCCATGAGCCAACTAAATATGAGTTACCAAACAATTTGACAATTAGATTTCTGTCTTTGCATTAGTTAAACTTGTGTTCCTTATTGTGTCAGTGCTCAGTTAGTTTATTTAATTTCAGGGCCCTGGTCCAAATGCTCGCGTGGTATACATTGATGGAGCATTTGATCTTTTTCATGCGGGACATGTCGAGGTATGTATGGCTGGAAGTTTTGACTTCAAATTTGTCTGCCCTCTTTTGTCTTTATGACTTCTTAGTGGATTACAATGCTCCATTAGTCTTGCTTTCCGCCTTTATCTTTTGTTTAAATTGACTTTAATACCAGACTTTTTATTGCATTTAATTGATGAAAATGCAAGTAATTCTGTAATTGGTCAAAATGTTACTTGCTATAGAAACATGATGTATTATCTTTCCTTCTTGTATTAGTGTTTGGTGGTTTCATATTTGCAGCATTATCCACCCAAATAAATTTTAAATGACCTTAGCTGATCACAGACCACTTTGCTCTTATTAGTTGCTCATTCCTCAGAACTGTTCATATACCTTTGGTCTTCACTCTTCACTACTCATCTTTGATGATGCCATTATGCATTACACTGGCTGCTGCGTCTTGATTGAATGACAGTAAAGATGTTGCAATGCGCACTAGAGTAATAGAACTGTATATCAGCTTATAGGCAGGAGGTATTCAGTTTAATAGTTGGCCTAGGTGGTGCTGGTTGGCCTAATGGGCATTGGGAAGCTAGTTTATACACATCTTCCATTGTTCAGGAGAGAGAGATAGAGTTCTGAGCTTCTGAATCACGTAAGTTGCGAGGGAAGTAAGCAAACAGAACAAAAGTTATCAAAAGTTTTTGTGCATCCCTTGTGTTTTCGTAGTAGATATAATGAAGAGGTTTGATATGGTGAAGAACCCTACGTCAAAATGCATCAACTAGTATCAGATCTACTGGGCATTTACTTGTCACCTGGTTTTCTTCTCAACAAAACTTGGTTTTAGAGGGCCTTCTATTATACAAGTTTAATGATTTTGTCTAAAACCTTTACATAAGGAAGTTTAGATGGGTTGTCATGGTTATAAAGAGCAACTTGCTGGCATACAGGTGGTTGTTGGAAATTTAAGGGCTACTGTAGTATTTGTACCGAACCATGTGGGACATTTGGATAGGTTTGAAATGAATGGGTACTTCTAACTTCTAATGTTTAACAAGATACCAGAGGGGTGGCTAGAAAGTGTTTTATGTGGATGGTTTAATGCAATAAAACGCTCCATTATTTTCAATCAACTGAATATTCAAAAATGGAGAAGAAAATCTTTTCAAATTTGTCATTGGAGACCTCTATGCTTGTTTTTTTAATGCATAATTCACAGAAGAGAAAAAGAGGGCTGACAAGGTTAGAGAAGTTGTAGAGGGATTTTTTATGAGGTGTCAGTATTAGAAAATGGGAAATTTTTAATCAGGCTTAATTGGGGAAGTGGCTACGGAGTTTTACTTGTAAGTTGGACAAATAATGGAGGGTGATGGTTTAAGTTTCTGAATAAATTGTACATTCAACTTGCGTATAAAACAAGGAGTACAACTGATGTACATGGCAATCCTAGACCCGATCTAAAATAGGAAATAGAATAAACCTATACAATCAATCTAATATATTTACATAACTAACATAATATTCGCACATTTCCACTCAAACTTAAGGTATTTTAGCAGCAAATACTGAAAGTTTGCCAAGAAGAAACTGAAATCAAGTAGTGGTGTGAGTCTTGGTAAAGAAATCAGTAACTTGCTATGCTGAAGAGACGAAAGGAAGTTAGATGGAGCCAGACTGTAGATGCTGACGAACAAAATGACAATCAACCTCAATGTGCTTTATCTACCCATGAAAGACAATTATGGACAATTTGAATAGCACTGCGGTTGTCATAGTAAAGGGAGGTCAGAGAAGACCAAGGGACACCCAAATCACTCGAGAGACATTGAAGCCAAACAATCTCAACAGTGGCATGAGCCGTAGCACGAAACTCTGCCTCGGCAGTGGAACGCTCAACAACAATTTGTTTCTTGTTCTTCTAAGAAATCAAGGAATCACCAAGAAACATGTAGAGGCTAGAAGTGACCAGCCTAATTAGAATCAGCATAGGCTACCAAGTCTAAGGAAGAAGTAGAAGACCGCAATAGACCCTGAAAGATAGTACCCTGAAGGTAGTGAAGAATCCGGATCAAAGTAGCCTAATGCGTAGAGCGAGGAGCAAAAATGACCTGGCTACCTACACGAACAATATAGGCAGGATCAGGGCGAGTACTCGTCAGATAGACTAAGTAATCCACAAACTCTCAATATAAAGTAGGATCATCCAGAGGAACACCATCAATAGTGTTGAGTTTCACATTAAGCTCAATGGGGGTATTAGAATTTTTAATGTTAGTAAGACCGGCACGATGAATAACCTCATGGGCATACTTGGCCTGAGATATAAAGTAGTCCTTGGGGAAGAAACTATCTCAATACCAAGAAAATACCACAATAGGCCCAGATTCTTCATTTCAAAGGTGTCGAAAAGATGCTTCTTGACCTTAGAGATAGCAGAACAGTCAGAGCTAGTGATGATCATATCATCTACATACAGTAGTAAGGCAACAAAACCAACAGATATAGGAGAAACAAAGCAAAATTTTAGGCATAAGGTTGAAACCTAAGCTCAACAATAGCTGTCTGAAAGCAATCATACTAAGCACGAGGAGATTGCTTCAAATCGTATAGAGTACGTTGAAAATGACAAACCTATCCAGAGGAGTGAGGAAGGCCAGGGAGAGGACGCATGTAAACTTTCTCAGCGAGATGTCCATTTGAGAAAGTATTCTTAACATCCATCTAATAAAGAGGCCAATGAGAACAGTAGTGACAAATATCAATGTATGGACAATAGTCATCTTGGCAACAATCTCAAATGTCTCATAATGAATACCATACTCCTATGAAAAACTTTTCGCAATTAGGTGAGCTTTGTATCACTCGAGAGAATCATTAGAATGAGTCTCCACTTTGTAGACCCATTTGCAGCTAACTAGATTCTTACTAGCAGGCAAAGGAAGTATTAGTTTTCTGTAAAGCAGACAACTCATCCTCCATAGCTCGAACTCAATTGGGATCCCGACAGGCCTCCTTATAAGACTAGGGTTCTGAAAAAGAGTGAGTAGCAAACAAGAAGGTACCACAAGAAGCAAAAAAACATGTATTTGAGAAACCCAACCTGTCTGAGGAATGACGTTGACGATCAAGATATTTACGTGCAGCAGGATTAGTGTCTTTAGAAGCAGGAGGATTAGTAGTAGAGACAGAGAGAACTGGTGGAGGGAGAGCCTTGCGACAAGAATAAACTAACAATAGAGGAGGAGAAGAGACATAGGGGTGGAGAGGAGGGAACAAGACTCACGGGAGATAGTGGAGGACTCAGCAAGAGGGGTGGTAGGAGAAGAAAAGGTAACAAGTTCATGGGAAATAGTAGAGATGTACTCATCAGGGGAGACCTGAGAAGGAAATGGATCAACGTGAACCAAATCCTCTTTGGAAAGAGGAGTAGTGATAGGAGGAAGCTTAAAGTAAGCTAGATGTTCTAGGAAGGCAATATGGCAGGAGACCTAAAGGCGGCGAGAAATAAGAACGTAACAGTGATAGCATTTCTGAGTATGACTGTAAGCCAAAAGGCATAAGGACAGACCATGCACTAAGTTTTGTCCTATCTTTTCGGGAAAGGACAAAACATGCAGACCCAAAAACATGAAGGAGACAGTAATTGGGAAATTAGGAAAACAGAGCCTCATAAGGAGAACGACTAGAGAGTAGGGGGTAAGCATACGTTTGAGAATGTCTCAAGGAGATGATGGTGTTTACGCTTAGCGTGACCCCTTTGGGCAGGTGTATCAGCATAGGAAATTTGGTGAATGGTACCTAAATTGGCTAGATACTCACATAACTCTATTAAAATATTCCCCACCTAAGATGGTAACAATTTAATGGTTGACCCAAGCTCGGTAGTGATCATAGACTGAAAGGTACGATATATTTGGTAGAAGTTAGATTTATGAGTCATAAGATAAACCTAAGTATAACAAGTGCAATTATCAACAAAAGACATGTAGTAAGCAGTCAACAAACAAATGACTTAGGCGAGAATGCTATAAATAAAGTGGACTCGATTGAGAGTCTAATTGAAATGAAAAAAGGCAACTGGAGTGGTGGATAGAGGAAGATGCAAGCTTTTTACCACATAGAGATCTCTAACTCTATAGTTCAATGGTTAAGACTTGGCCTATTAACCTTGAGGTTATGGGTTCAAGTCTTGGAACCACCACTTTGTGCATTATGCCAGAGGTTAGATGTGTACTAAATCTTTTTCCTCCCAAACACACATTAATGTGTACTAATTGGGCGTTGTTTTTTGTTTTTTTAGAGATCTCCAACTCTACGGCCGGTCTCGATCTGCTTTTTGGACACTTGATCCTGCACACAACAGACAAGAGGAAAAGATAACATCAAAATCAGAAGCATCAAGTAAACTGATAGATAATAAACTCACAGATAACTGAAGAATATAAAGAATGGAGGGAATAGTAACAGCAAACATGGCACTGGCAGAGGGTAAGACAGACCCAATAGATAGAACAAACATACCAAACCCATTAGGAGTATTAATTTGAGAGGGGGAATACAGTTTTTAAGTAAGGAAAAGTGAGGAGTCATGAGATGAGAGGCACTAGAATCAAAAAGCCAGACAAAAGAAGGGATACCTGAAGAGAACCTAAGCAAACCTGGATGAAGAGAGGTAAAAGGGGAAGCAGATGGGGATGGCTAAAAGGTGGACAAGATATACTGTAGTTGAGTAATCTGAGCACTTAAGGAAGCCAAGTTAGGATTTGGAGCAGGAGCAGATGCAATATAAGCGGGAGAAGGCTGGAACATACTTGGAATAGGATTGTGGAACTGTGTTTGAGGTGGCTGAGAAGACGTAGTAGGCTGACGTCCCTTCTTGGGACAATTGTGCTTCCAATGACTCCTCAGGTGCAAAAAGCACACTCATCTGTACCTAATAGCCCCTTTTTGGGTTTCCCAGTGGCCTGAAGCTGATGATGAGGTGGGGTCGATAACAGAGAAGGCTTAGTAGAAACTTTCTTCTACATTTGTAAGCATTTGTGAGGACACTTTGACACATATGATATATGGTCGATATGTTCAGTTAGATGTGCACCATACAAATATGTGCAAGTAGTAAAGTTTACTATGTAACTATGCATTATATTCATGTTCTATGCACGAAAGCTCTATGTCAGATTCTTAATACCATTTTACCCTAGTAAATGAAAGTAGTATTTAAAAAATAAGAAATTTAGTAGTGCCAAGGTGTCCTAGATGAATCAGACACGTGCACACACCCGATACCCCATACCTACACCCATGTAACAGAGATACAAAGGGCCTCAGTGCCACCAAAAGACCAACGATTCCACATGCACCATATAATCAATGACCATAAATTCTTCCTCCGTTCGCCACTAGAACCCCAGCCAACTGTAGAGAAGCTCATCCACACAGTAAGGGAAAGCCCACACTACTTCAAACCAACATAACTAAGTTCAAAGTTCTCTCGTCACATGAGATGATCCATTGACTCACAAGTCCCCCATCCCAAAAATAAGTGTATTTTTCAAACTTATCCCACATCTTCTGAATCTCTTTCCAAAGACTCACCATAAATCATGTTTACCCCCTTGTCCAATCCCAATCCCACTTTGTTCCATCTGTGCGAATATAACATTAATTATGTAAATATATTAGATTGATTGTATATGTTTATTCTTATTTCCTATTTTAGATTAGGTCTAGGATTGCTATCTATATCGGTTGTACTCCTTGTATTATACACAAGTTGAATATACAATTCATACAGAAACTTACATGGTAGTAGAGCAAGGTACGAAACCCTAGTAGCCATCACACTTCGGTCGTTGTTTCTAATTTTTGGTTTCATCTTTTGTCTCTCCATCAAGTTCTCTGTCCGCGATCGTTGGGTGGTCGTGGAAATCACGATTCGTAATCATCCGTGACCTCTAGTTGAGTTGTCAAGTTGCGAGTTGTCTCTATGGTTCTCTGGTCTTTTCGTTTGACTTTTGGGCTTCAATGTCTCATACATGATCTCCCTCTACCTCTAGTTCGTGCAATCAAAGAGGTCTGCTTCACTCCTTTTGACTTTGAGTTTGGATTCTGGTTTTGTCTCTCCCAACGGTCTCTCTCTATAGCTTTGCTTTGGTTGTATTTGACCATCTGGTATTGCTCTTGGTTTATTATAGTCCCAAACCTCAGTTCTTTGCTTATTACTGTTTGACCCATTAATTCTCTTTTTATTACATTTAGACCCCCATTAGTTCATTGTCTTTTCCTTTTTTGGTTTGTTATGATGTCAGACACTAAAATTCAAGCCATCAAATACAAACCAACTAGTAGCAATTATGCCTATTGGGCCAATGTTATGAAGAATTTTCTTCTTGGTCAAAAAAAATTGGGCTATGTTTCTGGATCTGTTACTCATCCATCGAACTCAAAAGTGAAGGCTATCTGACTTCCTGTGACACTTGGGATTGTGACAATGCCCCAAATTCTGATCTAGTTTCATAATTCTATGGATGACCGTATTGAAATGATGTTTTTCCAAATACAATACTGCCAAGAAGGTGTGAGATTATTTATTGGGTGTTTATCAGCAATCCAACTTTGCCAAGCGGTATGAGTTGGAAACAGCTATTCAGAGTGCTCGTCAATGCAATCAGACTATTCAAGATTTCTATATTGAGATAAAAGGTCTCTGGGATCAGTTGGCTTCATGGACCACCTCGCCTCAACATACTAGACACTTATGTTGAGTTCCTAGAGCAGGGCCGTTTAGTGCAGTTCTTAATGGCTCTCTCCCCTCAGTATGAGGCTATCCATGGTGGCATCCTTTATCGGTCTCCTTTTCCCTCTGTGGATGCTATTGTTTGTGAGCTCCTCTCCGAGAAAACCTGTCTTAAGACGCCCAGTCAGACTCTGCCTGCCTCTGTCTTCTTGGCTTCTACTAAGCCTTCTCTGTTATCGACCCCACCTCATCATCAGCTTCAGGCCACTGCGAAACCCAAAAAGGGGCTATTAGGTACAGATGAGTGTGCTTTTTGAGGTGGCTGAGAAGACGTAGTAGGCTGACGTCCCTTCTTGGGACAATTGTGCTTCCAATGACTCCTCAGGTGGCAAAAAGCACACTCATCTGTACCTAATAGCCCCTTTTTGGGTTTCGCAGTGGCCTGAAGCTGATGATGAGGTGGGGTCGATAACAGAGAAGGCTTAGTAGAAGCCAAGAAGACAGAGGCAGGCAGAGTCTGACTGGGCGTCTTAAGACAGGTTTTCTCGGAGAGGAGCTCACAAACAATAGCATCCACAGAGGGAAAAGGAGACCGATAAAGGATGCCACCATGGATAGCCTCATACTGAGGGGAGAGAGCCATTAAGAACTGCACTAAACGACCCTGCTCTAGGAACTCAACATAAGTGTCTAGTATGTTGAGGCGAGGTGGTCCATGAAAGCCAACTGATCCCAGAGACCTTTTATCTCAATATAGAAATCTTGAATAGTCTGATTGCATTGACGAGCACTCTGAATAGCTGTTTCCAACTCATACCGCTTGGCAAAGTTGGATTGCTGATAAACACCCAATAAATAATCTCACACCTTCTTGGCAGTATTGTATTTGGAAAAACATCATTTCAATACGGTCATCCATAGAATTATGAAACTAGATCAGAATTTGGGGCATTGTCACAATCCCAAGTGTCACAGGAAGTCAGATAGCCTTCACTTTTGAGTTCGATGGATGAGTAACAGATCCAGAAACATAGCCCAATTTTTTCTGACCAAGAAGAAAATTCTTCATAACATTGGCCCAATAGGCATAATTGCTACTAGTTGGTTTGTATTTGATGGCTTGAATTTTAGTGTCCGACATCATAACAAACCAAAAAAGGAAAAGACAATGAACTAATGGGGGTCTAAATGTAATAAAAAGAGAATTAATGGGTCAAACAGTAATAAGCAAAGAACTGAGGTTTGAGACTATAATAAACCAAGAGCAATACCAGATGGTCAAATACAACCAAAGCAAAGCTATAGAGAGAGACCGTTGGGAGAGACAAAACCAGAATCCAAACTCAAAGTCAAAAGGAGTGAAGCAGACCTCTTTGATTGCACGAACTAGAGGTAGAGGGAGATCATGTATGAGACATTGAAGCCCAAAAGTCAAACGAAAAGACCAGAGAACCATAGAGACAACTCGCGACTTGACAACTCAACTAGAGGTCACGGATGATTACGAATCGTGATTTCCACGACCACCCAACGATCGCGGACAGAGAACTTGATGGAGAGACAAAAGATGAAACCAAAAATTAGAAACAACGACCGAAGTGTGATGGCTACTAGGGTTTCGTACCTTGCTCTACTACCATGTAAGTTTCTGTATGAATTGTATATTCAACTTGTGTATAATACAAGGAGTACAACCGATATAGATAGCAATCCTAGACCTAATCTAAAATAGGAAATAAGAATAAACATATACAATCAATCTAATATATTTACATAATTAATGTTATATTCGCACAGATGGAACAAAGTGGGATTGGGATTGGACAAGGGGGTAAACATGATTTATGGTGAGTCTTTGGAAAGAGATTCAGAAGATGTGGGATAAGTTTGAAAAATACACTTATTTTTGGGATGGGGGACTTGTGAGTCAGTGGATCATCTCATGTGACGAGAGAACTTTGAACTTAGTTATGTTGGTTTGAAGTAGTGTGGGCTTTCCCTTACTGTGTGGATGAGCTTCTCTACAGTTGGCTGGGGTTCTAGTGGCGAGCGGACGAAGAATTTATGGTCATTGATTATATGGTGCATGTGGAATCGTTGGTCTTTTGGTGGCACTGAGGCCCTTTGTATCTCTGTTACATGGGTGTAGGTATGGGGTATCGGGTGTGTGCACGTGTCTGATTCATCTAGGACACCTTGGCACTACTAAATTTCTTATTTTTTAAATACTACTTTCATTTACTAGGGTAAAATGGTATTAAGAATCTGACATAGAGCTTTCGTGCATAGAACATGAATATAATGCATAGTTACATAGTAAACTTTACTACTTGCACATATTTGTATGGTGCACATCTAACTGAACATATTGAACATATATCATATGTGTCAAAGTGTCCTCACAAATGCTTACAAATGTAGAAGAATTCATGTAATATGCCTTTGTATAGGTTGAAGAGTTTTTTTTTTTGGTGTGTATGTGTACAGTTAGGAGTTGGGTGTAGTTAAGCCATCTCAACCAATTTGTGGATTTGTAGAGTTTTTTTTTATACACTTGGAGGTGCATTGTGTTCTATCTTCTTCATATTGTTCTTCTTCATTTTATTTATTTATTTATTTTGTATTTGCGGTGTAATTCCTTTATGCCTTTATTTAATGAATTTTACATTACTTGCCAAAAGGAAAAAATAATAATTGCTTATTATTTTGAGGGTTGAACCTTAGTGAAAAGACCATGGCTTGTAATGAATTTGTTGACCCGTACCTCAATTAAGTCACAATCTATGATTTTGAGGATACTTTTCTAGGTTATTATATTTAGAACACCTAATTTTATTGGCAGTTAGCTCGTCATTTGGCTGTTGACATGAGCCCCACTCACCTTAGAAGCTCATTCCGATGCATGTAGAAGAAGACCTTTTTATTTACTTGTATATTGTGCAGAAGTATAAAGAGTACTGTCTGATGTGTCTTGATGCAATTAAGATGTAAACAGACCTATCTTATTAAGTGACATGCATGGCCTTTTTTTACTCTTGGTTGTATTATAAACTTGGAATTTCATTGCAGCCTTTCTCCTTAATTTAACAGTTACTTTTTGAAATATCCTGTGAGTAATGTTTTCAATGGGCCAATTTTTGTACTTGCTCAGATCCTCAAAAGTGCCAGGCAACTTGGAGATTTTCTACTTGTTGGTATCCATAGTGACCACATTGTCAGGTGCGGCCATTCATTATATGCTTTACAGGGTTTACTTCCGTACTTGCCTTTTGAGTGGTTGTGGTGAAGATGATGCCAATAGTTATAATTGTGTTATTATTATTTCTTAGCAAAATATAAGTATTGCTATTACTTCATATTGTTTAGGATATTGTCCATGTGATTATATATATATCAATTCTCACATGCTTTAATATAACTAGTTGTGTTGCTTGTGATTTTTCATCTCGATTTGAGGGTAAAATTTCTATATATAGCAAAATTTTCTTTTGGACATCAAACAAATAAAATCAAAATAATATAATATTGACATCCAAACAATCAAAACAAAGAGATAGAGAGTATGGAGATAGCCTATGAAATTTGGAGAGGCACCACAAATTACTATCCTAAAATTGCATGTGCCTCGTTCCATACAGGTTTGAACGAACTCATACAACTAGATTCAACTCAGAATATTCATAGCGGTCTAACTCACAATGAATAGTTGTAGCAGATTGGATGTCAAGTTTGTATTGGATACCTAAAATTTTTAAAAAATAGTAATATAATATGTATATAGCACTACGGAAAGACAGAATTAAGGAGAAAAAGTACCACAGTTTTATGTCTTCAAATTGTAGAGAGTTTGTTTTTATAAGATAAAACTCTTTATGTTATTGTAAATGATGCATTGGTTCGGTTTAAATTCAAAACTTTTTAGATTTAAATTTAAATAGACACATATTCAATTTAAAATAGTGTTCGTTAACCAAATAAGGTTTGATTTGAAACTTCAACAGCTAATTTAAAGTTTTTATTTTTATTTTTTTTATAAGTTGTAAATTATTTGTAATTATATTTTTATATAGAAAATTTAGAAAACCACATTTAAGTGAACATGAACAAAAGTTTAGCATCACATTATATTGTATTTTATATTTACATATTTTGAATTTTTAAAAAGGAATAATTATTGGTGGTTATTTGGTAGTGGTGGAAATGTGGCGGTAGTGCCAAAGGCAAACGTGGTGGTCGTAGTGAAATAATTTGGTGGTGGAGATAGTGGTAGGCATAGTAGTAGTCGTGGTGGTTGTGGCGAGGGTGGTTATGTCATAATGGTACATTTTGGTACTTATACATAAGTAACTAAAAATTTAGTATTTTTTTAACCAACATTTTATGATTTAAATAAAATTTTAAATGATAAGAGTTATAGTTATTAAACGAACTTAATTGATTTTAATGGGATAGAAATCTAAACATATTTTAAATTTTATTTATATGTTGTTACAATGATGCTTAATTAATTATAGTTGTAATGAAAATCAAATACAACACATAATAAATACAAATAAACTCTCAAAGTTGGAAAGAAACCTAAACAAATATACGAGAAATAAGACAACACACGCAAGTGGATAAATTAGAACAATTAATAACGATAGTGCAAGGAAAGCAACATAAAAAAGATGGAAAAGTTTAAAAAATCTAGTATATATTTGATTCACCAAATACATTTTTGTATTTAAATAAAAACTAAAAAATGAAATCACAACTAAATAGGCATAAATAGTAGAGTTAGATCCAAACAATCCAAAGCATTCACTTCGTCTAATTGTTCTTTAGGAAAATCAATAAATATGTGTACCAAATATATTTTTTAATTTTTATACTAAAAATAATACAAATATATTTAATATTTTCTATAAATCAAAAATAATAAATTGTAAACATTGCAAAACGACATTCATGCAGTTTGCGTTTTCCGTGAAAATAATTTTTACAAATTCAAAAATCACATTTTGATGTCTTCTAATAAGTTGGTTATTTTTAGAAAATTTTCTCCAAATCAAAATTAAAAAAAAAAGAAAAAGAAAATAAATTTATTTGTCTTTAGAAAAATGAAAATAGATGATGAAATCACAATAAATAGGCACGAACTGTGGATGTATTTATTTTATCGGCAAAAGTCAATTGTTAGCCTTCCCACCCTTGCAAAACACCAAGTGATTGCCTCCTAATTCAACTCCCCCTTGGCACGAACTGTGGATGTATTTATTTTATCGGCAAAAGTCAATTGTTAGCCTTCCCACCCTTGCAAAACACCAAGTGATTGCCTCCTAATTCAACTCCCCCTTAGGGAGAGTTGAACACATGACTTCCCTCTTGGGACTAAGCCCTTAAAAAAGTCACGATGGCCCAACTAAGTTAGACCTAGTTGCTTAAATCCAAACAATCCATAACATGCACTTTTTGTAGATGTTCTTTAGGAAAATCATTAATTTGTATGTTTAGGGAAATTGATGAAAATCATTAATTTGGAATATGATCTTTCGTATTCGTCTTCATTCTTGATTATAGATATCATAATGGCTTTGTTTCTAAAATATAATCCAGCCTCACATGTAAAAGCAGCACTTCTTGTCTCTTTTTGTATTCTGTTTGTGATCTATTTTCTTCTTTCAATTATTACACTATAATGTTCGTCTTTTGTAAATCCAAGAGTGTTTATTTGTTGCAAATTGTTTATCCATTATCATCCCTTTTTTTTTTCCTCGCTTCAAAGATGTTGTTCCCATTTTTTCAATTTCAGAACAATGATTCAGAGTTTCTAGCTCGATTTTTTGATTTTAGAACCGAGTGCGACCATTTTTCTTCAATTGTTTGTAAAATCTATAAGTCAAACATTTTTCCTTGATTTGTTTGTAAAATCTAGAAGTCAGAAATTTTATTGCATAAATAGCACATACATATTTTTTTCAAACAAAAGTGTACATCTTGAACAACCATTTCAAATATATAATTGTTCAACCAAACACAACGTTGGAGACTTGTACATACCTTGGTACTCCACAACTTTGACTTTTTATTAATTTTCTTATTAGTGCTTTAGCACCCAATTCATGAAAATTCAATACATACTCGTGATGTTATTCACACCTTTTGATTTCAGAATAATGCTTGAGAGACATTGTCCTAACCTTTTAATTTTGCTGGGTTGTTTGTAAGTTATTTTTGGTGGTTAAAATGAATCGTATGAAATATGGCCTTGATATTAGTTTCCTTGCCAAAGGCAAGCAGTTTCTTTTAAGGGAACCAAATAAAAGCAGTTGTTTTGGTTTAAAAAAAAAAGGAGTTGGTTTTATGGAGGAATTCAATTTACAGTGTGCTACCTTTTCAAATTGATGCGGCTATAAAAATCAATTAGTAAGGGAGGGTGTTTTGGGAATAAAAAAAGTAGAAAACTCTTTGTATTTTTAATACGGAATAGATAAGAAGGATTAGAAAAATAACAAGTTGCTTTTGTATGCAGTGAACAGCGAGGGATGCACCATCCTATTATGCATCTACATGAGCGTAGTCTTAGTGTACTGGCCTGCCGTTATGTTGATGAAGTCATCATTGGTGCACCTTTGGAAGTGACAAGGGACATGGTGTGTTTAATTTCTTATTTGTATTTGTGCTCCATTTTGTTCAAAGCTAAATGCGTGAAATCTGTACGTTACCCCTTTGTGTGGCCATTATGTGTGTTGGCTTGATTTGGTTTACATCTAAAAGGGCATTGTGGATTACCAGTCATAAGTTTTATTTTCTTAACATCATGTGAAAGATGAGGAACCAACACTAGACAGCAATTGCCTTTAGTTAAAAGAAAGGTTGATTTTAATTAGACTTGGTTACAGGTTGCAACTCAGTTTGCACCTCCTTTTGTGTGCCCTCCAGGTGTTTGCTTCTATATTACCTGGAACGTGGAACGGGAATGGGAATGTAGTTATGTGCCACATGCTCTAAAATGTGGTACAATTAGAGTATGCTTATATAGATTACTGTGTAAAAATAAGTTACTTGTAGAATAATTTTCTTGTAACAATTAGGTATCCAGTAAAACATATATATATATATATAAATTTTGTAGCAACACATTTTTATGAGCGTTATGACCCATTTTTTACATTTTGTTCTGTTAAAACTTCACTAGTCTTAAATTTAGTTCATTATATTTGATTTAATTTTTTATAAAGGAAAACTTTAGGAAACATATTTGAAAAAACTTTTGGGATTACTTTGGATCGCTAAATTTACCATTTTGAAACGAAAATATACAATGTTTCGGAACATGCATTCTAAAACGTAATTTGCTAGGGTATTAACATTTTTTGGTACACTGGTTTGCTTATTGAAATTGTAGTTAACACAAACAGATACTCATATGTATATTATCTTTGAACAAGCATGCATGCACACACCGTACATGCATCATATACATTAAATTCATATATATTTATCTGTTTATATTTATGACGAAGAAAATTTATATATGTATATGTATTTATCTAGACTTCTTCGTGCACTAATAATTGTAGCAACCTAAAAGGATGTGTTTCTTTCTTCTTTTTTTTTTCTTTTTTTCCTTTCTTGCTATTAATATTTTTCAGAACTACTCATTTAATCTAACACATGTTGCAATTGATATTTTTTTTTAATGATTTTTCATTTGGCCAACTGAAGTAATGGTGGAGCTAGTGTGAGCCACCGAGCTAGTATGTTGGCTGGATTGATGTTCCAGCCTGTCCTGTACTATGGTATTCAGATTGGCATAATAACTGGACTCCATCTAATGCCACTAAATATGCATAATGATACTGATAGAGCCCATGTGAGGAACTTGTTAGCAGTACTTCTGGGAGAAAATTTTGCAAAATGTTCTGACTTTTTTTTTTAAAAAAAAAAAATTTCTTTTGGCTTTTTCTAAATCACACATGGCATTTGCTTCTCCAAGATGTCATTGTATTTTCTTGAAAACAGTTCCTTTGCTTGCAGATCTTCATTTTAATTATTTTTTTTCAATGTTAATGATTATTATGATTCTTAATTCTGAACAGATAACAACTTTCAACATCTCTTTGGTTGTGCATGGGACAGTTGCTGAGAGCAACACTTTCCTGAATGTAAGTTGACTCGACACATTTCATTTGGGACCAATTATGATTTCCAGCTGCATTGCTTTGCATCTTGAAACCATGTCTTGAAATTGTGATTTGCTTAATGCAGGGCAAGACTGACCCATATGCAGTTCCCAAGAGCATGGGAATTTTTCAGATGCTACAGAGCCCAAAAAATATAACCACCACTTCAGTGGCCCAAAGGATACTTGCCAATCATGAAGTTTACGTGGTAATCCTTTACTGTTTCCCTCTTGCTTCATTTGCTTGATAACACTAATATTGTTGTTCTAGGTGAATGCTCACACCTTTAAATTCTCAATACATTTGATAAGTATCCCTTTTTTAACCTAATTCTTGGTGCATTCCCTGAAAGTAAAAATGGTAGCAATGGAATAAACTTTGCCCACATTTTATGCTGAAACTTATTAATAGAATAGCATATGTTGATTGAGCTGCAACCTTTTGTTTTCTTTTCTTTTCTCTTCTCTTCTGTGTATGTGTGTGTGTGCCTGCGCGGTGTTTGTGTGTGAATGCTGTCTTTTATTTCTTATTTTTTCACTTTACAGAATGTTTGATGGTAATTCGAATCTAAGTAACATGGACATGACACAGATATGCCGGCACGACGATTTTAAAAAAATGCATGACAAGGTTATATTTTTATAAATTTATTATATGTCAATATTCAAATAGTTCATTAAAAGGTTAAAAAAGAGAAAAAAGAAAAAGAAAAAAGGGCAGCATAACACTAATCAAAATTAGAAATCAGGAGTTGGCTTTTCTATTTATATAGAATCAGCATTGTAACTATTTGCTTCAAAATGATGATTGTAAGAATGAAACTTCAACCTTGTTTCTTTGATTGGAGTACGGATGAGATCAAAAGGCCATTATTGGAGCAAACGATGCAATAGCTTCGGCTAGAGCAAAGCCTATATTCCTTTCCTAATAGTCTTCTTTTCTTTAAAGTGCTGCTTGACATGGCCAGTTGTTTCTAGGTGACAATTACATATATTTTTTTGTTTGGTCATAAGATTCCTCCGAATATTTTGGTCCTGGATTAGTAATTGTAGAGGGAGCAAAAGTTAAGGTCACCTCTATTAGACAAACAAGTGTGATTAAATGAACATGGGGTCAAAGCCTAAAGGGAAGTGAGCCAACCAGAAGGCCAAACCAAGTCCGACCCACTAGACGCGAATGGACCCTCAACAGTGAAAGTGCCTAAGGAAACCTGCCGAGGTACTGCTTGCCGCAGTCCAGTAGCTGAGGCAATCAACCTCAGCGCTGCCATCCAACTAGGAGGTCATTGCGATGCCACCTTTGCAACTACTTGAAGCACACTAGCTGAGGGAAGAGTAGTCGAGGCGACTGTATCCTCCACGACTACCTTTTGAGGCAAGACTCCCCAAGGTGATAGCAGCCTTTGAGGAAGGCCTCATTTCTAGAAATAGAGACTAATTCTTGGCGTCGATAGCAGGCCCCAAAACATTACCAGCCTAGGATTGATAGTAGGCTCGAAGCATAAGTAGCTTGGCACTTATAGCAAACCCTTACGCTTATTGGTTGGAGCTAACAGCAGGCCCTAGAGATACCAAAATATGTTGCGGCAACCCCACGAAGATGGGAGCAGGGCAGCCTGAAAGTAAGGGACTCCTTTTCCATTTACCCCGGTTATGGACCTATTTCGGTCGTACCAACAAGACCAAGGAAGCCCCCTTGGGCTTGGTATGAGGCACAACTCTTGTTTCCTGGGAAGCTAGGGAGTTTGTGGTTAGGTAGCTAAGGGTGGAGTCGTTGTTGAGGTAGACACAAGAATGGTTGATAGCATGCTATGAGTCCTAAGATGTGCTTTCGGAAACTGAACTGAGAAGCGTGGTGCCACAAGAAGTACCACTGCACCGAAGCAGGTGCACCTTCTGTGGTCCGTACCAAAAACGATAGTTGTTGAGGTTTATACCAATCAATGGTACTTGCTAAGATTTATGCTAAACAGATAGTACATGCAAAGGGACACGTGTCTACCAAAGCCTGGTGGTTCAGGATAGAATATTTCGCGACACATGTCGCTACACTATTTGGCTATATATTCAGTATTAGGGAAAAGCCTATAAATAGGACTCATTTCCCAAAGTTCAAAGGGAGAACTTCTTGGTTTTGGGGGGATATGTTACCCATTTCCACTGGCACGTTCTCTTCTTGAACCACTTGCTCCACCCTCACCCGGCCGCTCACTCTCCGGTTACCTCAGATTGTTGACTCATTAGGATAGCTTTTCCACTCCAAGTACTATCATTATTTACTGTTCATTTCAGACTCCCTACAGTAATCAGTTTCGATATTTTTATTTTGAATATGACTAGAGAAGAGAGGATAGGCTCATTAAGATATGAGAATTTACTCTAAATAAGTAATTGAAGTAATTAAGCGCTATAGCCTATTTCCAATACTCAATGGCTTGATCAAACCAAGCCTTCAAAATTTCAAATCTCTCAATCAAATGGGCTGTCTGTTCTCACTGATTGGAATAGGCCCGTCAATTCCTTCTTTTAGAATCTGTACTTGAGAGTATCCTACCTCATACAACTCAGCCATCAACTCCTTTGGAATCTCATTTTAATCTATCGTAGGTAACTGAATGAGCTTTTTGATAGATCTATTCCATTTTTTGGGACTAACCAAAAGAAGTTAATCACATGAATTACAGACTTGGATTTAGGTTTATAATAGGTTTTAGTTTTATCTTATTCTCCCACTTTTCAGGAGAATAAAGCATAGGTATTTCCCCCAATGTTAGTATTTTTTGGAAAGTAACTATCTCGATTTCATATGTTCCATAGCTTAAACATTAAGATATCATTCACATAGCAATTGCATTCTAAATAATGCAATGCAATTGTGGAACATTAAAATAAACATGATTTAGTCTTTTTATAAATATTTCAAAACATATTTAGAGTGCACAAGTTGCATTCCGAAGAATGTAGAACATTGTTAATGATCACATAGGTCGTACTCAAAAGGTTCAAAAAGTGTCTAAGAAGAGTCTGGTATTATGAATTTTAAATTTTAATTATGAAAGGTTGAAGAAGTGTCGGACACACTTTTAAATGTGTCCACAAAGTCGTGTCCGAGACAATGCGTCTCCACCATGTAAGTGTATATGCTTCTCAGATTTGAATCAATATGAAGGCATTTTGAAATCGTAAGGATTTGTGGTTGTGATATCTAACCGCACTATTATTTCCTCTATTTTTGTTTTTTGGGTAATATTTAGCTTATAATAATTTTCTAATTCAACTTCCCTCTATGACAAATGCTTTGTTTCATGTTTGATGTATGTTAGAGACGTGTATTTTAATTTTGGTTTGTTCCATACTTTGCTACGCTTACATATAGAATGTGCTGTCATATTGCTTCTTTTTTTCTTTTTTCTGTTTTTTGATTCATCGGAAATTAAAACAAGAGTTTAAAATAGCAATACATAATACTAGAGGTAGTCCCTCACAACACTAACTCCAGTCATGTCATCTATGATGAGAGCTCTAACATCTTCTAGAGGGTCTCTTCTAAAATCACATGTTCATCTTGAGCCACGCCCATGTTGGCTAGCTTATCTGCGACCCTATTTCCCTCTGAGAGTGTGCCCCAGTGAACAACTACATCTTTTAAGTAAAAACTTTGCATCCTTAATGTGGGCCTTGTATGGTGAATTATGGCTTGGGCCATTTTGAATTTGGTTGATGGCCTGCTCCGAACCAGTCTCAATCTCCACAATCCATTGAACCTTTTTGGAAGAGGATGGTAAGGCCCCTGTTGGTGGCCCATAATTCTGCTTCCAAGCTGGATCAGTGACCCAGCTTTCCATAGTATAGTCAGGTGCCAGCCTCATCATGCAAGAGTCCTCCATAGCCTACCTGTCGTGGATCTCCTTTGGAGCAGCCATCTGTGTTCAATTTGAGCTTACCTGCAATAGGGAAACACCATTTAATTAGTCTAGGTAGAGATGGACTGGGGTGGAGAGGAGATTGGTGACATGAGTTTCTTGTGCTTCAGTTGTTTCAGATGCTTTGAGGGCTTCATACAAAAGTCCAAACATTGTAAATGCTATCGAACCTCATCAATCTCATGAACATAATCCCTAATGTTCTTGAGGCTAGCTTGAATGGGGTTCTCAAGATTTTCAAAAACCAATTTATTACGATCTTTCCAGATTTGCCAAAGAGTCGCAATAAAAATAAGGTACCATTTTTTCCCAAAAAAAACTTATTTTTCATGTTAGAAGAAACCATCCTCCCACCTGTTAGTATTATTAATTTCAGTCCAAATTTCTTTGGATTTAGCACAATCTCTGAGGAGATGACTCTCATCCTCACTGAAAAGTCCAAACCTAGGACACAAAGTCATACCAGCCGCATGTGATTTAGTCAGCAGTCTACCCTTCAGGATAAGCCAAAGAAAGCATTTGAGTTTATGGGGAGTCTTGATTTTCCAGATCCACTTCCAATCTCTACCATCTAACTCATGGTTTGCAATGATTCTATAAGCAGAAGCAGTGGAGAAGTTACCACAAGAGGATCCCACATCCCACCCAGGTGGGGGCATCAGTGTAGGTAACGAACTTGGGTCTATAGATCTGAAGGATTTCTTGGAGGTCTTGTTGTTGTTGCTGCTGGCCAATGTATGGCCTCGTCAATATTTTCTGATTTCCATAAGGCTTGGATCCTTTTTGCTTCCTTAGCATGGCTCTAATATTACTTGAGCCACCAAAGCATGGGTGAATAGGAGCTCCTTGGAACAAGAATGGAGCATCATCCTTACCATAATCTTCTACAGGCCCAAATATTCTTGGGTCTGATCCATCATAGAACATGTAGTCATTGTCAAATATTTGCAAGTCATCACCTCCCATAGTATTAAACCTGAGACCAACATCCTTTCCTATTTTCTGAATTCCATCTATCACAATGGCTTTGGTTGTTTCTGTGTTAGTGCCACATCTAAAGCAAATGAACCTTTAGTCCCACTGGGCGTGCCAAGACATGTTAACAAAAATCTGGTTTGGATAAAATCGACAGGGAAGAGTCGACAGGAAAACTAATTTTTATAAACAAACAAACGGATTAAGCGATGTGGTTGGTGTCCTATGCCTTGATAGATTCAATGACTTCTTTGGAGGTTGTAATGTGAAAAAACAAGTGTAAATAAGCTGAAATTCGATTGAATAATACTTAAACTTGTCACTTAATTACAAGAATCAAATTACAAGTTTAAATAAGATTACAATCGACAGGGCCAAACTGAGTACAAAAATTGAATTACTAATGAACTACTCCCAAGTTAAGATAGATTACTCCTAGATAAGTTACACTACTAGATTTCACATGAGTTGTGAATTTGGTTGAAGGTCCTTTCTTATTCGAATTTCCAGCTTTTATATGGTTTCACTGGCCATGCTATGTTGCCAAGTGTTCATTTACTGGCTCCCCACATCTGCTCGTGATCTGCAACTGTTACAACTGCCTTGAACTCTCTTTCCTTTTGAGGCTGCCAAGTGTCACACCCTCAATCTTCCTTTTTGAGCAACTATCTTCATGTCCTTGAATCTCGGACCTTCATTGCACATGATTATGCCCCTGTCAACAGAAGATTTTCAATTTATGGTGCCAACAATACCCCCCTCAATTTAAGGTAAAACTAAGTTTTGCCTTAAATGAATATTTATTCACATGGGCCAATTTTGAAGGCCCAAATGTAACCATGATTTGATTAAAACAACTAAGCCGGTTTACAAGCCCAAAACTAATATGGCCCAACAAACAGAAACGACCCAAGCAATATAAACTTGGCAAGAAATTCCTATGCTTAACCCTAAGGGCCAAGAAATTCCTTCTTTGAATCGTTATAATTCTCTCTTGGGCTCCCTTAGGAATTTTCAACTTTGATGCAGGTTGAGCCTTTTCATTTGCTTGAGCATAATAGAGAGAAGAATTTAGGTTGTGGAAGAGACTCAGGTAAGCAAGTACAGTGTGGTCCTTCTATAACTCCTCAAAAGCATACAACTGTAAATGAACATGTGTCATTTTACAGACCTCCTAATGACTTAGGACCAAGACTCGGGAGGCAACCAAGGCCACAAGTGTATGATAATTATGCATTTGATAGGCCTGCAGCAGGCCATTATGGTATGGCAAACCAAAGGCACAGGCCATTTAATCAAGTTAGGTCTCAGAATGTGCAAGACCATGCCATGCAACAACCATACTATGATATGATGAATCCAAGGCCTAGAGGGCCTGGTCCTCCTCTCCCTTATTATCAGCCAGAAGTTCAAGGAGGAGGACAATAACAATACAAAAATATGTTAGCAAAAATCTAGTTTGGATAAAATCGATGGAAAAGAGTTGACAGGAAAACCAATTTTCACAAACAAACAAACTGATCAAGCAATGTGGTTGGTGTCCTATGCCTTGACAGATTCAAGGAACAGATTCAAGGACTTCTTTGGAGGTTGTAATGTGAAGAAACAAGTGCAAACAAACTTAAATTCGATTCAATAACACTTAAACTTGTCAATTAATTGCAAGAATTAAATTACAAGTTCAAATAAGATTACAATCGATAGGGCCAAACTGAGTACAAAAGCTAAATTACATGTGAAATACTCCTAAGTTAAGATAGACTACTCCTAGATAAGTTACACTACTCCTAGATTTCACATGAGTTGTAAATTTGGTTGAAGGTCTTTTCTTCTTCAAATTTTCAACTTTTATATGGCTTCACTGGCCATGCCTTGTTGCCATGTGTCTATTTGCTGGCTCTCCACATCTATCCATGATCTGTAACTACTGCAATTGCTTCAACTCTCTGCTGTAACTCTCTTTCCTTTCGAGGTTGCCAAGTGTCACACCCTTAATCTTCCTTTTTGAGCCACTATCTTCATGTCCTTGAATTCATGTCCTTGAAACTTGGACCTTCATTGCACATGATTATGCCTGTCGACAGAAGATTTTCAATTTATGGTGCTAACAATGCTCCCCTCATTTAAGGTAAAACTAAGTTTTGCCTTGAATGAAAATTATTTATTCACATGGGCAATTTTAAAGGCCAATTTTGAAGGCCCAGATGTTACCATGATTTGATTAAAACAACAGGCCTCGTTTGGGAACATGCTTTTTTAGTAACTTTTTGGCTTTTTGGCTAAAATATGATGTAAAAAAAATTAGTATGTTTAGGATTACTTTTTGACTTTTTACAAAAAGATGTGCAAAAAGTAGAGAGAAAAAGGAATCTTTGACTTTTTAGTATAGGTTGTTGACTTTTTTAGTGTTTTTAGTAACTTTTGGCTAAAAAAGCCACTTTCCAAACGAGGCCGCCTATTTAGAAGCCCAAAACTAATGTGGTCCAACAAACAAAAACGACCCAAGCAAATATAAACTTGGGAATTTGAATTGAAGCTTCACTCTTGCTTTTTCACTCTACAGTTAACATCAATTTCCTTAGTGGTCAAGGTGAAAAGACCATTATATAGTATGGCCAAAAGAAATGGAGCAAAGGCCAGTTCTGCACCTTCTTGAATACCAGTGGCAAGGGATAAGTATTCCTTGGTAACTTTGAAACTAGGAATACAGAAAAAGAATTGGCACAACCATAAGAGGTAAAAAGCTATCCTTTCCTCATCAGTAGGTTCTAGACCAAATTTTTGGTATTTTTTCATAAAGCTGCCGTAGCTTATGTTGGTAGCTATGTTGAAATCAACATTTTGAGGGGTTAGGAGTGCACTGATGTGTTGGCCAACAACAGGGAGGCCAGTTAAGTGTACAACATCTAAAATAGTGGGGGAAATCATGCCACATTTTAGCATCATGGAATTGCATGAGGTGGACTAGAAGCAAGCTGCAGAACTGATGGTCCACTTGTCCATGTCAAAAGCAAATGTCGACGGACGGATGACAGATGGATGACATCATAGATGCCCAAGGCTCGCCATAGGTCTATGTCACATTTCATCATCCTATTTACGTAGAGCTTCCAGTCAGCACTAGGTTTCTGCCATGAACGTAGATGATTGTGGCTAACATCCCATTGGTGCCAAGCTAGTTTTTCTGTGTCAAGTAATAAACTTTCTGTCTAAGCAATTGGGAAGTATGGAGCCACTTCATCAGGGATAGTATTGAGGAAGGATGGCCCTAGCCCTCCTTGAGCAGTGGTGCTTACAGGGATAATGCAGCTATTGAATTTGTGAGTTCAAATGGTTTCCCTGATCTCAGGAGGGAAACGGAGCACTGGAGAAGGTTCTAGGGCTCTGGTTGTTTGGCCTTTGACTGAGACTGAGATTCCTTGGGGGCCATGGCTAGTGTTTTGCAGAAGGTGAAAAGATAGATGAGAAGTGTAGATCGAAGAAGCAAGAGTGAAGTTTCAATTCAAATTCCTAAGTTTATATTGCTTGGGTCGTTTTTGTTTGTTGGGCCATATTAGTTTTAGGCTTGTAAACCAGCTCAGTTGTTTTAATCAAATCATGGTAACATTTGGGCCATCAAAAGTGGCCTATAAAATTGCCCATGTGAATAAATAATGTTCATTCAAGGCAAAACTTAGTTTTACCTTAAATGAGGGGAGCACTGTTAGCACCATAAATTGGAAATCTTTTGTCGATAGGGGCATAATCATGTGCAATGAAGGTCCAAGTTTCAAGGACATGAAGATAGTGGCTCAAAAAGGAAGATTGAGGGTGTGGCGGCTCGAAAGGAAAGAGAGTTCAAGGCAGTTGCAGATCATGGGCAGATGTGGGGAGCTAGAAAATGGACACGTGGCAGCATGGCATGGCCAGTGAAGCCATATAAAAGCTAGAAATTCGAAGAAGAAAAGACCTTCAACCAAATTCACAAAAATCATGTGAAATCTGGGAGTAGTGTAACTTATTTAGGAGTAATCTATCTTAACTTAGGAGTAGTTCATCTGTAATTTAGCTTTTGTACTCAGTTTGGCCCTGTCAATTGTAATCTTATTTGAACTTGTAATTTGATTTTTGTAATTAAGTGACAAGTTTATGTGTTATTCAATCGCTTTTAAGTTTTTTTGCACTTGTTTCTTCACATTACAACCTCCAAAGAAGTCCTTGAATCTGTTAAGGCATAGGACACCAACCAAATTGCTTGATCAGTTTGTTTGTTTGTGTTGGTTTTCCTGTCGACTCTTCACTGTCGATTTTATCCAAACTAGATTTTTACTAACACAAGATTAGCTATAATTTCATTGTCCCAATTACCCTCATCATCAAGGATTGAACTTACCTGGTCTCCATCATTACCTGTGAAGTGCTGTAAATCTGAGATAGTGGTTTTTTGTCCACACCAGTCATCATTCCATAGAGATATGGATTCTCCACTTCCCACATTCCATTTAACTCCTTTTCTAAGAGTGTCCCTGTTTTTGCAAATAATTTTCCAGGTGTGAGATGATTTTTTGTTCATAGGCCAACTGAAAATGAAGTTGTTATTCAAGTTTTTAGTTTGGAGCACTTTACACCAAAGTTTATTTTTATCACTCAAAATTTTCCACCCAAGTTTGGTGAGGAGTGCTGGTTGTGGTCTCTAGCCTTTCTGATGCCAAGTCCCCTCAGCGTTACTTCTACAAACATTGGGCATGTTTAGTTTGTCTCTCAAAACATGTTTTTGGAGAAAAAATTCCAAAAACATGTTTGGTTGACAATAAATAAAAAAAAAATTCAAAATCACTTTTTTCTCTATTACACATCAATTAATTACTTTTTCTCTCTCCTCTCTCTTTCTCAGGCACTTTTTCTCACACTCATCTATTTAACTACAAAAAAATATCAAATCATCCTAAATTCCAAGACTCCAAAACTATTTTTAAAATATACAACCAAACTAATTTTCAAATTTTATAAACTCTCAGAAAATCATTTTTGAAATAGTATCTCAAAACACCAACCAAACAAGGCCATTATTTCCCTACCAAAGAAGCTTTTGCTTATTGCTGAATGCTGATTGCTGATTGCTGATTGCATGACTAACTTGCAGAAACGCAATGCCAAGAAGGAAGCGAGTGAGAAGAAATACTACGCAGAGAAGAAACATGTGTCCGGGGACTGAAGCCTCCTTCGCTCATAGACTTCAAACAGGTAGCTATTGTAGAATTTTCCTGGATTTATAATCCGGCATATAGAGGCCTGTTCTGTTAGTGTGTAAGATAGACATATGAGTAAGATAGATGTATCATTGGACGGAGATTGTTGGATCGACAGAGAAGAAGAAAGAAGATAGGGACATGGAAGAATATAATATACCGTCATCAGTATGGAATTTTCGTTTGGCATTTTGTTGTAAACTTTCCTCAAGAGTAAAAATAGGATGTTAGTCATAACGGTAACTTTGTATTTGCAGACGTGGATTATCTGACTTCGGTTTGTGGTTTTCTATCTTTTTAGAAGAATCTAATATTTAGCTTGATACATTTTTACTATGTCAATTGCTCATCCTTTCATCATTTCTTTTCTTATGTGCGACATTTTACTCAGATTCCATTACATTGAATGCAAACAATAGTAGTATTTTTGGATATTAGATTTGTCAAGGAAATTATACAAAAATAATCGTTCACTATATTTTCCTTTTCTTTTTTTCTTTTTCTTTTTTTCTACGAATTCAAGATCTAGCAAGTTCAAGCAACACAGATGGTACCAGGTGTAGTGATAAAATCACCTATTTTCTGGGTCGAGACCAAAAAACAAGAAACCAATACTGACATTCAAATCAACTTGGGGACCTGGTCAGTAAGCTTGTGTAATGTCTACCAAAGTTTATTAGGAACACAATCTCCAATAGTTAATTATTTATCATTGAGTCGACTCAGAAACTTAATTGGGCTTTGACAACCAAAACTTGGTAGTTGCAGTTTCTGTCTTACCTTAGGGAGTAAGCTCTATAGGGCTCTCCTGTAAATGCAAATTTTACAATCAGCCGATAAATAAGTGCCACGCAGTAAAGATGGATTTTACAGCCATCCACAGACATCTGATCATCTCTACTTTCCTATCTAATCTCTGTAATCAACTAAACCACAACCTTTCCTCTCCCCAGAAACCTCTGTAGATTGCAGCCCCCTTCCTCTTTCTCATAGCCACCAACGCCATCCCTCTCTCGTATCCACCACTGCCACCTTCCTTCCCTCCCTTCTCTCCCGGCCTCCACCACTGCCTTCCTTCCCTCCCCTTTCAATCCCAACCTCCACCGCCGATCACTGCCCCCTCCAAGTTGCTGATAATGGTAGCAGCGAGACTCAAAATTGCACCACGCTCACTAATTTCTTTTTTGCGCATTTTGAGAAGGTTGCAACACTGATCAAGGTTTAATTGCTGGATGTAAATTAAACTCTCTAACTAAAATAATACTAATATAATTTCAAACAATTATTAGTTAAGGTATTCATGTCAGATTGTATTTCTTGCCCAAGAAAAAAAAAAAAAAAAAAAATAATATTTTACTTTATCCTTACTCCGGCGGTCAGTGGCTATGGGAGAGATAAAAGGGAAAGAAGGGGTGGTGAACGATGCTCGTGGTGGCTGGAGTAGAGAGGAATTGGAGGGAAGGTGTGGCGATCGATGGCTGGGAAGAAATGAGATGGATGGACACTATAGTGATCACTAATGGATGTTGCGGAGAGACTAAACAAGGAGGGAAGGGGGGTGTTGTGTGATCAAATGTACAAAAGATATTTCTAATTAGTCATTTGTTATATTTAATAAAGTAGAAGTTGATCTGTGCAATTAAAAATGTGATAATACAATAATTAAACAAAAATTGTTAAAGACTCATAATTAATTTATTTGTCATATTTCTATTGATGGTTGGTAAAAATCTGAATTTCATAGAACATTCATACAAAACTTAAATCTCTTTATGTAATAGTGGTTAAATTTATTAAATTATTATAATTTTTTTAATTTTTTATTTTATTGAGATAATTATTGAAAAGTCTAACATCTATATAATAAAGTAGGATGGTTTTTGAATTTGTCCTACACACATTTGTCTTACTAAAACATTCAGACAGCTCAAATCTATTCAAATTATAAAATAATGACTGAGATATATTTTTTTAAAAATTTCCTACATGTACATTTTCAATTTCCCGCTTCTCTTTCTTACTTTTTCCTTTTCTCACCTATCATTCTATGATCTCATGTTCCCACATTTCTCTATCTTTTTCTATTTTTATTTTTTTTTATTTTCTCCCATTTTTAGTTTTCTCTCTATTTGTTTATTTTTTTATTTTCTCCTTTTTGTTCACTTATTTTTATTCATATTATATGGAAAAATCTGTGATCCCAGAATTAGGAGTCAGATTTTACTGTATGTAATGGACATTATATTAATGAATTTTTTAGTCCACAAATTAAATGAATTTGAACAACTAATTATTATTTTTAAACATATTGAATACCTAATAGATTTCGTAAATTTAGACCTCATATGAATCTTCAACAACTAATTATTAGTTTTTGAATTTGTCCTACACACATTCGTCCTACTAGGATATTTGGACGGCTTAGATCTATTCAAATTACAAAACAACGGCTGAGATATATTTTTCAAAAAAATCCTACATGTACATTTTTTATTTTTCCGCTTCTCTCTTTTACTTTTTTCTTTTCTCACCTATCCGTCTATGATCCCATGATCCCACATTCTTCTCTCTTTTTTTATTTTTATTTTTTTTTATTTTCTCTCATTTTTATTTTTCTCTTTATTTGTTTATTTTTTTTCTCCTTTTTGTTCATTTATTTTTATTCATATTGTATGAAAAAGCTTGCGATCCCAGATTAGGAGCCATATTACTATGTGTAATGGAGATTATATTAATGAATTTTTTAGTGCACAAATTAAATGAATTTGAATAATTAATTATTATTATTAAATGTATTGAATACCTAATAGATTTCGTAAATTTAGACCTAATATGAATGTTCAACATCTATATAATAAAATATGATGGTTTTTGAATTTGTCCTACTAGAACATTTGGATGACTCAGATCTATTTAAATTATAAAACAACGGCTGAGATATATTTTTCAAAAAATATCTTACATGTACATTTTCTATTTTCCTGCTTCTCTCTCTTACTTTTTCATTTTCTTACCTATCCTTCTATGATCCCATGATCCCATATTCCTCTATCTTTTTATTTTTTATTTTTTTTTATTTTCTCGCATTTTTATTTTTCTCTCTATTTGTTTATTTGTTTATTTTCTCCCTTTTGTTCACTTATTTTTTTTCATATTATATGGAAAAGTCTGTGAGTCCAGAATTAGGAGCCAAATTTTACTATGTGTAATCAAGATTATATTAATGAATTTTTTAGTCCACAAATTAAATGAATTTGAACAATTAATTATTATTTTTAAATATATTGAATACCTGATAGATTTCGTAAATTTAGACTTTATATGAATCTTCAACATCTATATAATAAAGTATGATGGTTTTTGAATTTGTTCTACACACATTTATCCTATTAAGACATTTGGACATCTCAGATCTATTCAAATTATAAAATAACGGCTGAGATATATTTTTCAAAAAATATCCTACATGCACATTTTCTTATTTCTCGCTTCTCTCTCTTACTTTTTCCTTTTCTCACCTATCCTTCCATGATCCCATGATCTCACCTTCCTCTCTCTTTTCTTTTTATTTTTTTATTTTCTCCCATTTTTATTTTTTTCTCTATTTGTTTATTTGTTTATTTTCTCCTTTTAGTTCATTTATTTTTATTCATATTATATGGAAAAATCTTCGATCCCAAAATTAGGAGCCAGATTTTGCTGTGTATAGTGGAGATTATATTAATGAATTTTTTGGTCCATAAATTAAATGAATTTGAACAATTAATTATTATTTTTAATATATTGAACACCTGATAGACTTTGTAAATTTAGACCTCATATGAATCTTCAACATCTATATAATAAAGTAGGATGATTTTTGAATTTTTCATACACACATTTGTCCTACTAGGACATTTGGATGGTTTAGATCTATTCAAATTATAAAACTACGGCTGATATATATTTTTCAAAAAATATCCCACATGTACATTTTCTATTTTCCTGCTTCTTTCTCTTACTTTTTCTTTTTCTCACCTATCCTTCCATGATCCCATGATCCCACCTTCCTCTCTCTTTTCTTTTTATTTTTTTATTTTCTCCCATTTTTATTTTTCTCTCTATTTGTTTATTTTTTTATTTTCACTTTTTTGTTTACTTATTTTTATTCATATTATATGGAAACGTTTACGATTCCAGAATTAGGAGCCAGATTTTACTATGTGTAGTGGAGATTAAATTAATGAATTTTTTAGTCCACAAATTAAATGAATTTGAATAATTAATTATTATTTTTAAATATAATGGATACTTGATAGATTTCATAAATTTAGACCTTATATGAATCTTCAACATATTTTAATAAAGCGGGACGATTTTTGTCACGACCCAAACCCGCCCCTAAAAGTTTTGTCCATGACCGGCATGTACGTAGGTCTCAAAACAGAAATTTTAGAATAATATTTAATCACATACGGGGCCTTAAGCGGAAGCAATATCAATAAAAAACAACATCTATTGAGCTTGTGCATACATGATGGCTTAAGTAATTTAGCAGTTAAATACATTCCCATAGGTACATATACAATCACAAAATTATGCAAACCTCACACACACTTAAATAAAACTCCAGAAATTACATAACTCCCAGTAATCAAAATTAAGGCCTCAACACGGAGGCGTACCCCAGGTAGCTTGGCAAACAGGTTGATCTCAATACAATTCTAGTGCCAATCCCCGATGGCTCACCTACATAAATATACATAAAAACAGAGTGAGCAAGGCTCAGTGAACAATAGTACTTGAATGCGTTAATACTCAATTAAACTTGTAACACATATAAAAGCGCAAGTAATGCAGAAATCATGTAATTAGTCTGATTCCGTAAATCATTTGCAGAACGACTTTGTCGGTTCACAACTTCACAATTTGGCCCTTGGCCGGATGGGTTCACATATTCACAAATTAGCCTTTGGCTTTATAGATTCATAATTGAGGTTCATGACTTCACAAATTGGCTCTTGGCCTTTTGGATTCATAGTTTCACAAGTTGGCCCTCGGCCTCATAGCTTCATATTTCACAAGTGGCCCTCGGCCTCAAAGATTCATATTTCACAAGTTCTTTTGATGTTTCCATAATTTCACAATGTTTCTCACATAGCATACATGTCAACATAATTTTTGCGAAGAATATAACGTCAATAACAATAAATATTAACAGTTAAAGGTACATCGAAGTACTAACAGAACAATTTATATCATGTCATGGCATAAACATATCGATTAAACAGAACAGAATATCCCTAGGTCCATAAAAATATAATTCATAACAGTGTTCATAAGATACCCCATGTCTCCTTGCAATTCAACATAATTATCTT